CAACTCAATGAAAGAGAATTACAGGCCAATATCCCTCATGAACATAGATGCCAAAATCCTCAACAAAATTCTAGCAAATCGGCTCCAGCAGAGCATCACAAAGATCATACACCATGACCAAGTAGGATTTATTCCAGGAATGCAAGGATGGTACAATATCCGCAAAATCAATAAACGTGATACATCACATAAACAAGTTGAAAGATAAAAATCATATAGTCATATCAATTGATGCAGAAAAAGCATTCGATAAAATCCAACACCCTTTCCTGATAAAAACTCTCAACAAGGTGGGAGTACAAGGATCATACCTCAACATAATAAAAGCTATATATGATAAACCCACAGCCAACATCATACTCAATGGGCAAAAACTAAAACCATTCCCTCTAAGAACAGGAACAAGACAGGGATGCCCACTTTCGCCACTCCTGTTTGACATAGTTCTGGAAGTACTAGCCATTGCAATTAGACAAGAGGAGGAAATAAAAGGCATCCAAATTGGAAAAGAAGAAGTAAAGCTATCCTTATTTGCAGACAACATGATATTGTACATAAAAAACCCAAAAGACTCCATTAAAAAACTAATTGGCTAAATAAATAAATTTGGCAATGTAGCAGGATACAAAATTAACGCCAAGAAATCTATGGCATTTCTATACACCAACAACGAATTTGTAGAAACAGAGACTAAAAAAGCAATTCCATTTACCATCGCACCAAAAAAATTAAGATACCTAGGAATAAATTTAACTAAGGAAGTAAAGGACCTATATGCGGAAAACTACACGACACTGAAAAAAGAGATAGAGGAAGATGTAAACAGATGGAAGAACATACCATGTTCATGGACTGGTAGAATCAACATCATCAAAATGTCCATACTTCCTAAAGCAATCTATAGGTTCAATGCACTCCCCATTAAAATACCAACGGCATATTTCACTGACCTTGAAAGAACTCTCCAACAGTTCATTTGGAACAATAAAAGACCCTGAATAGCCACAGCAATCCTGAGAAAGAAGAGTAAAGTAGGAGGGATCTCAATACCAGACTTCAAACTATATTACAAAGCCACTGTTCTCAACACAGCCTGGTACTGGCACAAAAACAGACATATAGATCAATGGAATCGAATCGAGAACCCAGATATCAACCCAAATCACTATGCTCAATTAATATTTGACAAAGGAGGCACAAATATACAATGGAGTCAAGACAGTCTTTTCAATAAATGGTGTTGGGAAAATTGGACAGATACATGCAAAAGAATGACACTAGATCACCAACTTACACCATACACAAAAATAAACTCAAAATGGATACAGGACTTAAACATCAGACGGGAAACCATAAAAATACTATAAGCATCCACGGGCAGCAAAATCTCAGACATATGCCAAAAGAACTTTTTCACTGATACTGCCCCTAGGGCAATGGAAGCTGAAGAGAAAATAAACAAATGGGACTACATCAAAATAAAAAGCTTTTTTTACAGCAAAAGAAACCATCAACAAAACAACAAGAAAGCCCACTGTGTGGGAGAACATATTTGCAAATGTTAACACTGATAAAGGTTTAATCTCCAACATCTACAAACAGCTTATACAACTAAATAAAAGGAAGATGAATGATCCAATTTAAAAATGGGCAATGGACCTAAATAGAATATTTCAAAAATAAGACAGAAGGAAGGCCAAAAGGCACATGAAAACATGCTCAAAGTCACTAATTATCCGAGAGATGCAAATCAAAACAACAATGCAGTACCATCTCACACCTGTCAAAATGGCCAACATCAACAAATCAACAAACGACAAGTGTTAGCGAGGTTGTGGAGAAAAAGGAACCCTCGTGCACTGCTGGTGGGAACACAGACTGGTGCAACCACTGTGGAGAACAGTGTGGAGTTTCCTCAAAAAACTGAAAATGGAACTCCCATTTGACCCAGTAATCCCACTTCTAGGAATATATCCCAAGAAACTAGAAACACCAATCAGAAAGGATATATGCACCCCTATGTTCATAGCAGCACAATCTACAATAGCTAGAGTCTTGAAACAGCCTAGGTGCCCGTCAGCAGATGATTGGATCAAAAAACTGTTGTAGAGCTACACAATGGAATACTATGCTGCCATAAAAAAGAAGGAATTCTCATCATTTGCAGCAACCTGAATGGAATTGGAGAACATCATGCTGAGTGAAGTAAGCCAGTCAATGAAAGAAAAACACCACATGACCTCACTCATTTGTGTATAATAAAGAACATTATAAACTGATGAACCAAAGGATAGATATAGAGACAGTATATCAACAAGCAGACTGTCAAATTACAGCGGGGAGGGGAGGAAGATCTGGGGGAGATAATAGACCAACCAAAGGACTTTTATACATGCACATAAGTACAACCAATGGATATAAAACTCTGGGGAGAGAGGGGATGTGTGGGAGGGAAGGAAGGGGGCAAAAAAAAAGAATAAAAAAATATATTAAAAAAAAAAAAAGACTGAAGAAAGGACCTCTCTTCCACTATTTTGAATACTTAATAGCTAATTTCATAACATAACATGTACCATTTTAAGGAAGTGATGATTTAGTGGGAAATTAGTGCTTTGCATTTGTATACTGTAAATATAAATGACGATTTGTTTGAAATGTGTAACTTTGATATGCAAAAGATAATAATTCACAATAATTCACAATATTAAATATTCCTTCAAAATAAAAAAAATTAAAAAAAAGAAAAAAAAAGAGTATATCACATTATGTTAGTAGCTTAGTATATAAAGGTGAGAAGCAGAGAATTTTATAACACTTTGTAAAAATAATTCCCTGTACAGAGGGGTGCTCATAATTTAGAGTGTACAATAAGGTCTTTTTTGAAAAAGCAGATTTCAAGGAACATCCCATGAAATTCAGATGGAGATTCTAAGGTGGGGTTCATAACAAAATGCACACCTCAAGTTACTCTGATGAGGTGGTCCCCAAATCATCTTGTGTGTGACTGGACATGGGAACCTTAAAGACAACTGCTGCAGCTGCTTCATGGATCACTGGTGAGGGAAGACTGAGACACTTAGGGAAGAATGGGTGGCATGGTGCCACATAACAGTTGAACCAAACAGCGCCAAACAATGATGAGGCCCTTCTCCATCCTGCAACAAATATGTAATATACAACTGCCAAGTACTCAGCACTATGCACAATTCTATGAAGTGTATGACCTTTCATATCCCTGCTAATGAGAAGTTACAATTAACAGCCAAAATAAGAAATTAGTTTTAACCAACAATATATGTGAGAGGCATTACAGGATCATACGTGAGTAAATGCTAGTCTTCCTTTGCTTTATTACCCATTACTTCTCCTTGTACATTATACTCATTCCTTCCTGTTATCTCCCATGTTATAAAGTAACTTCTTGCAGGGTAAAAAAAAAAAAAAAATTGCCCAAGCTATTGTGGCACAGCCGGGTACCATGTGAATTTCATGGAGCCCCGAGTAGCTAGGAATGATAGTCTTTTTTACTGTTGATTATACACTTGTTTTATATGCCATCATTCTTCTTATTTTCACTAAAAACAAGTCTAGATCACTAAGGCAGGGAAGGGCTGGGTAGGGAAAATCATCAGTAGGTCTACTAAATTTTAAGTTTCTTAGATGATCCAGTAAACCTTGAAGAGAACTTGATCAAGCAGGCTCACCATGATCATCGTTCCCTGGCAGGCAAATTCTTCAGTTGGATAATAGAGTTAGGCCATCTCATGGGATGGCTTTAGAATCCTACAATGCCCCACCCAGAGCTCAGTCTCAGTAGTTCCTGGACCCTTCAAACATGTAACTCTATGGCTTAACTCAAATGCCTGCAGTGAGCACGGCCACACCCTCAGACTCACCCTTTCTCAGAGCAGCTCAGGATAGAGGATCTCAAAACTCTAAAATGACCTTCATGGACTGCAATCTCCTAGTCCTCAATGTCTCCATGTTCTCCACTTGCCCGATTTGCTCTCACTGGAATCTCCAGTCTATGGAAGCTTCCCCAGTCCTTGGCTCACTGGCATTAGGTACACCCCTTGGGCAAAGATTTCAAACTGGCTGTCTCTGTCTCTGGGAATGAGAATAATACCTAACTTTTATGTGGCACTTTACAATTCAGAAAGGACTTTCTTCGGCCTTCTCTTATTTGAGTTAATCTGCAATAGGTCTTATCATTATTCCTCTTAAGTAGCAAAGAAGACTTTAAGACATCCCCTGAAAGCTTGCGGACACATTGTACTGAGCTATTTGAACTTTATACTGTCTTGTCTCAATGGCTCACACTGACAAGAGAGTAGCCAATGACCTAGGACTGCCTGTGACTATGCTTCATCACACACTCATTGCATTAGCATCCAGTCCCAAGCAAGTAAGCAATTCTATCTTGGAAAGAAATACGTAGTATATGAAGCTGCCCAGTGTGTGTATTGGCAGTGAGACCATCAGAAAACAAGTTGTCTTGAACCAAAGTTCTACATGTAGCTGGCTCAAAAGACTAAGCTAAAATAAATCAAACAAAACCTAACCATGACTAAAATAGGTATGTGTCTTTTTGCTTCCAACTATCTTAAAAAAGTAATGATGTATCACTATCTTCAGTTAATTAATTCCAGGGTTGTGTGTTGATTTTTTTTTACAGCAAACTTCATACCCTCATCTTGTATTACATACCATCTGTCTATACTGAATATTTAGTTCTCACCCACAACCTACTTCTAACCATTGCAATAAAAGTGTCTCCTTAAAAACCAGAAAAAACGTTCTGCTACCATAGAGGGACAAGGGCTTATGTTTTAAATTAACTGACATTATTAGTTTATAATCTTCTGCTGCCATCTTCTGTGTCAATGAAGCAGCACCTTCACACTCATGAACAAGGTAATTGGGTTTAACAAGTATAATGCTCGCTGGTCAATCAGAGCGAACATTTTTTACACAGAGAAGGAAAAGCTTCATTTTGTTACCTCTAAGTGACTCCGCCTCTCAGCAATCACACGTTCATCCTTGTTTCCAAATAGTTTCTTTGGAGGGAATTCAAGGGTAGCAAGCTGAAATACATATTTTACAAGAGAAGCATTAATATCACACTTGTGACCTCTAGGTTATTATTAATTTATCAATTGGAATGTCTATTATGGGGTAAAAAGATGGGAGGCCCTGCCTTGTTTTGCCACTAATCACCTGTGTGGCTAAACACATCAGGCAAGCTTCCACAGAGGTCAGATGAGAAGGCAGAACCAGGGTAACTCAAAGGAAGGGCAGACACAAGTCTCCATGTTTTGTCTCAGACAACATTAGATAGTCTCTATGCCAGATGATGTTTTACAATTTTTTCTTCAAAACGTATGTTTGTTCTTTTTTCTCCCCTTATTATACTAGAATTCAATTATTTTTGTGTTGCGATGAGAACTGGGAAACTCAGCTTGCACACTACCTGAACATTTTGTGCAATAGTTCTCGGACCATTGCTAAGGGTTCTTAAACATTCCATGCTGTCTTTCTTCAACTACTACTGCAAATGAAGACTTCCCCTGTGAAAAGAGGACTTCTCTTTGAATCTTTTAGCCTTGCTTCCTAAAGAATAAAGTTCAGGATTTGTTTTAGTTTAGTCTTATAATTTCATGGTTATTTTCCTTATACTTTTCTTCTTGGTGGCATAAAAATCATAAAAAGATAAGTTTTATTTTAGATTCTGAGACAAGAAAAAATCTATAATCTGGTAAAAATCTGTCTAGTAAGTGTTGCTTTGGTTGAATGAAGGCTAAACAACATAACTGTTGGTGTTCATGGAATTCACCATTTCTTTCTTTCCTAACCTTATGAGGTTCAGATAAATTGAGAGTCCAATGACGCATTATTAAAAAAAAAAATTAACAACCTTTCTCCCACAATATAGATCCAAAATATGCCATAAAATTCCTATTTTATACATATGCAAATCCCTAGTTGGTTTAAATGTATATTGCCATAGCAGGAGTTAAAACTTAAGAACTAGCATTTATACAGACAGTACTTCAAAAATTTAGTATTAAAGTAGAATATACATATAGCAAAATGCACATATCCTATATGAACAACTTGGTGAATTTTCAACATCTCAATACATTGATGGAGAAAAAACATACCTAGCACCCCAGAAACCCTTATATGCCCCCTTCCAATAGTTCCCTCCCATCTTCTACAAAGGTTCAGCTTGGTTTAGATTTACCTATTTTTGAATTTCATGTATATGATGCCATCAAATGAACCTAGTTGCTATTTAACAGGAAAGTAGGAAAGGGAAGACCAGAAAAACACATGCCTAGTAAAGATTTAAGTGAACTGGGAAGGTGCCTTCCTGTCAGTCACACCAGAAAGCTGAAAGCAAGTCAGTGGCCAAGATGGGCATGAATACTGCATGTTTTCCAAACCTGAATATTTAAACTTCCAAACAATGGAAGTTCTCCCCCTCGTCTCCCTCCTGGGACTCCTGTGGCTAGGGGATGCTCTCTCTTGTGCCCACAAGTCCCAGGGCCCGGATGCTGAACCACACCTGGCTTAACATGGAAAGGAAGGTCTGGGCACTGGCCCTGTTTCTGGCTCTGCTGAACTCCCAGCTGCACCTTTTCCAGGACTGGTTTACAGTGCAGGGGTTTTTGGAAGCTGAAAAATGTAACTCCACACCAAAAAAAATGTCCCTCATCCCATCCTCCTATGAGTGCTTCTGACCATGCTTATTTCATTTCAGCAGCACTCCAAGAACATCCACCTCATTCCAAACTCTTGTCTGTGAAATCAGTCCATTAATTTCTCTGGCATCAGTATCATACAGCATGAAATGCGTACATCACTCTACCTCATGTGTGTGAGATCCATCCATGTTGTGACTAGTAGCCATGGTTTGTTCATTCAGTGGTTGTATAGTATTCCATCTTGTGAGCATTCTACCATTTGTCTGTTCAGTCTCTTGTTATTGGGCTTTTGGTCAGTTTCCAGGTTTTAGCTACTAGGAATTGTGCTACTATAAACAATTTTATTTGAGTCTTCTAATGAGCATATGATCTTAGGAGTAAAAGTGCAGGGTCACAAGGTATGCACGTTTGGTTGTATCTGAAATTATCAAATGGTTTTCCAAAGCGGTTTTACTAAGGGACCTCCCACCATCAGTGATTGAGAGACCCAGTTGCTCCAGATCCTCCCCTACACTTGGCACTGTGGTCTTTTTCTCTTAACACTTCTGGGGGGATGAGGTGATTTCTATGCTGGTTCCAATTTGCTTTGCTCTAAGGACTAAAGATGTTGAGCATCTTTTCACATGTTCATTGACCAACTGGTTGGCCACTTTAGGAAAATATCTGTTCAACTCTTGGCCCATTTTTTTTTTTTATTCAGCAATCTGTCTTTTTCTTATTAAGAGGAATTCTCCCTTTCACTCTGTTCAAAGCATCTTTGATTACTTTATAGTCCCCTTTTAATGTTACCTGATGTCAGGCAGGTGTTTGTTTCTTTCTTACTCTAGAGATCTTTCTACCAAAGGAGAGAAACCTTGGGTGGTGTGGTATGTAGTGCCTCCTACTCTTTTCTCGCCAACACTGCAATTTTGCTCCTGACAGTCAACTTTAAAACCAGTCGGAGGTGACATGAAAGATTACAGATCCTGAGGTAAAACAGACCCAGTTTGAATCTTGGATTGACTGCTAACTAGCTAACTACCTCTGTTTCTCTGAGCCTGAGTATTTATTTTCTGTTGAAGAAAAATGCAGACAATAATACTAAACTTCATCGGGTTTCTATTTAGATTTAGTGAAGCAATGTCAAATGAGCCTTAGCTACTAGTATTACTTGCTAGAGATATGGTTAAGAAAAGAAAGCAGTATGCCACCTTTTCTCACACCCTCTTCTCATCCATGGACTGGTGATATGGCTTCAAGGAGCAGAGTTTTCTGGAACCCTGGTCTCACTGGCACAAACACTCTCCCTGTATGTTGCAGCTTAGAGAAGACAGGTACACCAGAGCTAGTCTTTGGGCTTCTTCCAGGCTCAATTTCATCTTGTACAAATTTTCCCTCCGCCTCCCACCCTCCAATGCAGTGATGCTGAAAGCTTGGCAAGCATGCTTTCACAGTTGGTTGTTTTGTCATTTTCCTATGTGGCTGGTGAGGGGGAAATGTGTAGTCACTCGCATGCTCAATCAGAGATGGTGCACTAACAGGACTTCGGGAAGCTAAAATGGGTGGGGACCAAGCATTTAAATATCCTCGTAGTTAGTGGTCTATTCTGAGATGGAGGCTAATCTTTTATACTATTAATATCTTCCTCCCTCATGAAATAATTATTTATAGATTATGTGTAATACTGTTGGTTGTTCAGATTTTAGGAAGAAATTGGCAACTTTAGATAACTTTTACGCACATGATCACAGGACTCCAATATTCTACCATATAACTTTAGAGGTGAACACAGGTGCAGAGTCAAGCGACTTAGAAAGGTTCAAAGTCACGGATGGGATGGTAGACTCCAGACGAGGAATCAGAACTTTAGGGTTTTTGTAGTAACACTGTAAAAGGTGTATACAGTACACGGAAGGGCCCTTTCTAATGGAAGCCCTAAAGATCTAAGATTCAGATAAAAGAAAGTAACACCTCCTTAGGTGTATGAAACAAACAAAAGATGATGCATTGCTGCTCAGCAGTGCTCAACAGTTCCAACAAGAGCTATCAATGGAACTTCCCTGAATACCCGAACCCAACAAAGTGGCAGGGTCAGCGATAGCAGTGGGAATGACAACAAAGGGGATAGGTCTGGAGGTAGGCTTCCGGAAGTCCATCTTGGGACATTTAAGATTAGTTATTCCTATCACCTTATCCCTCTCATAATAAAACTGAAAAAGAATGGTGCATTTCCTTACATGTAATGGAAGGGTTGGAGGGAGGGAGGAAAAAAATGAGAGAAGTTCTATGTTATTTACAATAGAGATGCACACTGCTGGGCCCACATCCCATTGGTGGAGTTAGGCCACTAACAAACTAAAGTAGAAAGGCAAGACCAAAAGGCAACACAGAAAAAGAAATATGGCCTTCTATAAAGTATTTATATCAGAAACAGCTATCCAACTCTCTTGTTCTGGCAGAATGAAAGCGTCCTCCATATCTCCCTTTTAGAGACTCTTAAAAGTGCTGCTCAACCTTACTATCTAGAAGGTTGTAGGATGAACTCAATGAAATTTCCAATTTTATAAATTAAAAATGGTTGAATATCAGCAATTTCACCTGCTTAAACCCTGTATAAAACTTTGTCATTTTTAAGCAAATACCTGCTTTACCTGACAGGTATAAATATTATTATTTGATAGGTCATCAGTTGGTTTATAAATAAGCCAATATTTGCTCAAAAGAATATTTCTTAGAAAGCACTCAAGAATAATAAAAATTAAAACACCTTATATTAAAGATACATATGACATTGAAATAGTTGGGGAGCTGGGAATGCAGAGGAAGCCATTTGGGGACTAACAGTTATTGCCATAGAACATGTAGTCACACTAGGCTATCGGAATCAGCCCATCTTACAGAAAGAAAAGACCACCATGGTCTTTACTTGGAATAGAGAAAAGAGGACAGGAGCTGCTGCTCCATTCTTGAAATAGTAATATTATAAAGATTCCAGGAGAGTTTGGAAACCTAACGAAGAGGCCTGAACTTTTTCTCTCTACAAGTGCAAAGCAACTGCTTCGTTTATTTTAAAACAGGCAGCAAAGCAATCCTCTGTAAGTTTCATTTCTGGATTGTGAATAATTTAAACTGTCAAACTATTTTAAATAAATGAACAATTTACCAAGGTTGGAAGAACTATTGATCAGGACAAATAATGTACATGAAGAGTAAAAAAACCAAAAAACTAAAAAAACAAACAAAACCTTTTCCATTTTGCTTCAAGTGTTCCAGTCTGAAAAGCACTATTTCCAACCAATTAAGAATACAAGAGGCGCACAGAGAGGGTGATTCAGAACTGTCCCTCACTTCTCCACGCAGGCCCTACTTACATCAACATCTTTTGTTTATTTGTTTGG